TTCATGTATTCAGAGATGAAAGATTTAAATATATATATATATATTTGGCCTATTTTATAAAAAGGAATTAATGAAAAGATAAATTTGACCTTTTTCATATATTTTAACATAACTGCATATTAATCTCATCACATCCATCAAAAATATTTTTGTTTGGTCATTTTGCCAGTTCAATATTTAACAAATTAAAAAATTATGTCACTTCTGCTTGAAAAAGTGGCAGGGGTAGGGGTGTAACTCTGAGTGCAAGTTTAGATGCTCTGTAAAAGGACTTAATTCCTGGTGGGAGGCAAAATGAACATTTTAATTTCAATTATCTTTTTTTTAATAAATTTATTTATTTGTTTTTATTTTTGGCTGTATTAGGTCTTTGTTGCTGTGCACAGGTTTTCTCTAGTTGTGGTGAGCAGGGGCTACTCTTTATTGTCGTGCGTGGGCTTCTCGTCGTGGCTTCTCTGGTTGCAGAGCACGGGCTCTAGGCCTGTGGGCTTCAGTAGTTGTGGCACATGGGCTCAGTAGTTGTGGCACATGGACTCAGAAGTTGCGGCTCACAGGCTCTAGAGTGCAGGCTCAGCAGTTGTGGCACATGGGCTTAGTTGCTCCACAGCATGTGGGATCTTCCCGGGCCAGGGCTCGAACCCATGTCCCCTGCATTGGCAGGCAGATTCTTAACTGCTGCGCCACCAAGGAAGCCCTCAATTATCTTCTTATCACATATAATTCACTGATAAGGCTCACTTAGTAGAAAGAGATTTTAGGGCTTCTCAAAAATCAGAATTCCCATCCAGGAATAACATTTAACCCACTTAAATCCTGCAGATTTGTCAAGATACATGCAGTAGCAAAGTTAAAAGACAATGTCTAGTCATTTAATAGAGAGGTACTCAGTGTGTGAAGCAACAGCTCTTGACCACTTAACCTTAGCAAAGGCATTCCATAACATTCCCTGAAACTACTTTTAAAAAGAAGATTTTGGGACTTCCCTGCTGGCACAGTGGTTAAGAATCCTCCTGCCAATGCAGGGGACACAGGTTCGAGCCCTGGTCCAGGAAGATCCCACATGCCACGAAGCAACTAAGCCCATGCGCCACAACTACTGAGCCTGTGCTCTAGAGCCCACAAGCCACAACTACTGAGCCCATGCACCACAACTACTGAAGCCCACTCGCCTAGAGCCCGAGCTCCGCAACAAGAGAAGCCACCACAATGAGAAGCGTGCGTACTGCAATGAAGAGTAGCTCCCACTCGCTGCAACTAGAGAAGCCTGTGTGCAACAGACCCAATGCAGCCATAAATAAATAAATAAATAAATTTATTTATTTTTTAAAAAAAGAAGAAGATTTTATGAGCAGAAATTTTTTCCTATGAATCCTTTAAAAAGCCACAGCATTTAGGAAACCAGCAGTGGAATTCAGTAAGCTTGGCTAATGTGAAACTGAGCTTTAGTTTTCATTATTGGCAGTATATACTCAATATTTATATAACTTTTCTTTCCTTTAGGTTCATCCAATATACTAAAATTTATCAAAATATTTTCAAGCGTTCTGTAAAGTGGATGTACGACAAATACTTAATATACCAAATCTATACATTACCTCTTCCAACGGTAGTATAAAAAGCAGTTTTAAACAAAGAAAATGTTTGTGATTATAACAAATTACTTAAGGATGCATCTGGTACTACTTCATTTTGTGACAATTATATTAAAAAAGGGTGCTGGAATAAATGCTCATATGAACTGACTGAAGCAGTACTTTCCACAACAATGTAGACAAAAAATACAGCTCCACATCGGAATAAGTAAACAAGGAAATAAAACTTTTTTCCAACCTAAGAAATTAAGCTCCATAATACCATATTTCTTTCATTCCAGTAGACGCTCCCCCATATTTTAAGATATCTCTAATCAGGATATCTATTCAGTATGATAGTGTTCCATTTTTTTCCTGAAAAGCTATTTTAATGAGGTATCTGATATTAAGAGATGGCTTGGAAATCCAATATATTTCCAAAGAGTTAAGCTGAATTTTCATGGTAGTAATTATTATTAAACATAAGTGACAATCTTATTCCATTTCACATTTAGTATTTTTTCATTAAATTTTTCTATCTATATTTATTAAACACCTGTTACATACCAAGCAATGTGCTTGACACTAAGGATACAAGTGGAGCAAAACAGACCATTCTTACCCTAGCAAAGCTTATTGCCTTGCCCAATTGGGGGGAAACTGGGAAAAGGCAGCACGGCACTTATGTCAACATGGAAACAAAGGAGTTAAAGTATTCAAGTGTGGGCAATAGGGCATTTTGATACCAGCTTTCTGGACTAGTACAGGAAAGGGTGGCACGAGAGACTTGTCATGCCATAAAACCCAACAAACACCAATTTCCTCCTACAGTGCAGGACTCTTATGGCCACTTTTGCCATATATAACACTTTACTTATATATTACTTTACAGCTTATAAAAATAAACATATTACTAACCCATCCATTTTTTTTTCTTCATAGCAATTTTTTATTACCATTTAAGTAGCTACTCAAAAATTTAAAAAAAACTGGGCCTCATTTACCTCCTTTGGGACAGTCACCTAAAGAAATATGATTTTTCAAACTATATGCCAAAAACAAAGAACTTGAGAAAATCCATATATCCACAGTAAATGATCTCCCTCATCTTCCCAAATATTGCCGAATCTCAAACTTTAGAGATGCAGTATTATATAATAATTCAATCCCCAAAACTTATCCTGTATTGTCTTCTTCCTCAAACATTAACAAAGGAAGTAAAAGTGATTTTAAAAAAGTAATCTGAAAGCAATTAGAATACCAAAAATAGGGGAAAATATTTCTTCCAAGTTGTATTTTATCCTTTAAAACTGTGAATATTATCTACTTAATATAGCACACTAATAATACTTGTAGCAATAATCTACATAATAATCAATGCTAGAAAAATACTTGTGCTGAAATACAAAATCCTGGGGGTTTTTTTGTTGCATTCACACACACCACAACAGTGGAAAAGGATAATCCAAAGTCCATTACTCTAAATTTTGGTTTAAAAGGCTATTGACATTTCTGTGTTTTTTACAATAATCACCAAGAATGATGTCGCTAAAATCCCCAATCAAAAATGGGAGGGGCTTCCCTGGTGGCGCAGTGGTTGAGAGTCCACCGGCCGATGCAGGGACACGGGTTCGTGCCCTGGTCCGGGAAGATCCCACATGCTGCGGAGCAGCTGGGCCCGTGAGCCATGGCCGCTGAGCCTGCGCGTCCGGAGCCTGTGCTCCGCAACGGGAGAGTCCAGAACAGTGAGAGGCCCACGTACCGCAAAAAAAAAAAAAAAAGGGAGTAATCCACATCCTAGAGTAAGAGAATTTTAATAGGCAAACACTTCATACAATGGAGACATAACAGGATTTCAAATAACACATTTTTTAATGAACTTAGAGTAAAGGTTTTTTTGCACATTAAGGTATGTTTACATAAATGTTCTTCCATCTATCTATATGCTTTCCTGCACATTGTTTCATAAGGCTGGTGGCTAAAATAGAGGTTATCAGTTACCATGAAATTTACATCTTAGGAAAAATGTAAATATTTCCTTAAACTAACCCCAAATTTTCCTTCCATTTTACTCCTATAAAAGTGGCTTTAATCAAATTAGGATGCATAGACTGCATGTGGAAATATTTAATATATCTTGAAACATAACTAAATCCAAGTCCCCTTCACCTTCAGAATACTGTGCTAAATACATCACCAAAAAATAAAATAATAATTTGCTAGCCAAAAAAGGCAAATATGAACTGAACTCAGATATGAACTGAAAAACCAAAGAACAAGGCTATTATTCTTAGCCAATTTGGGGGCAAAACAGGGAAAGAAGCCAGTCTGTCCTACTGTGGAAATAAGGCTTCAGTTTGCTAAAACAATTTAAAAATGTAAGTCAACTATCTGGGGAAGGCAACTGACGAGAGACAAGTTGTCAAAAGAGAAGTATGGCATGATCTGCTGGACTCCCAAGACACTCAAGGAGGTAAATCTTTATTCTGCTTCTTCTCATCCATTTCCAACTCACAGAGAGAGACACAGGGCAAGGTGCAGGAATCCGAACCAAGGATAGAGAAAGTAAGCACAATATCTCAAGTGCCAACCTTAAGCTAGTTTGTGAAATTTAACCTAGAAGTAAACTGTCCAATTATTTAAAGTAATGAAACCCAATATTAACCTACAAACTGATGAATAGTACAACTTAAAAAACAGTGATATAGGGCTTCCCTGGTGGCGCAGTGGTTGAGAGTCCGCCTGCCGATGCAGGGGACGCGGGTTTGTGCCCCGGTCCAGGAAGATCCCACATGCCGCGGAGTGGCTGGGCCCGTGAGCCATGGCCGCTAAGCCTGCACGTCCGGAGCCTGTGCTCCGCAACGGGAGAGGCCGCAACAGTGAGATGCCCGCGTACCGTAAAAAAAAAAAACAAAAAGAAAAGAAAGAAAAATAGTGATATAGTTTTGATATATTCTGAGGATCTTCTTTTGCATATGTATTTCTGATGAACTGTATTCTCAAATTTAACAAATAAATCTATCTCCGTTTTTGTGGCCTCAATTTCCACTTAACATGATAAAATAAGCATAATCTTAGTTTCAGCTCTGCCATAAAATAGCTTACTGGGCTTGAGCAAGTATCTGGGCCTAAGTTTCTTCACTTGTCTACTGAAAAGTGTTGATCCCAAATTACTTAAATGAACTCTTCATTCTAAAATAATCATTCTATAATTCTTTATGATGACATCAAGTTATTTGGGGCAATATCTCCCTTTAACTGGAGAAACACTCCCCTGGACTGAAGCAGTGGCTATATTCTTTAAGCAATCATTCACCACACCAACTCTGGTGACGACAGTACTATGGATTTACCCCCACCCCAATTCGATCACTTCATAAAACCTCCAGCACAACAAACCCATCACTACCTACTTATTCATTTACTTACACAGGAAATGGGTAAACCAAGCCCCACTGTGTTGAGGACAGTGGTTGTGACGGTACTGTCATGGTACGGATACTGGATGCTGTTGTCTTTACAGAAAAAGCCTCTCTGAAATGGATATATTTGGCCCAAATTTAGAACAGCCATAGGCATGGAAGCTGTTAGGGAAGGGAAAAAAAGACACACATGGTTAAATTCAATTCACTTCATTAGGAAGTAAAGTCTACTAAATGGGATGCAAATCTCAACCGTATTTTGCCCTTTCTGAAAAAGGATCACTATTCCATTACATCCAAGAGTAAAGACTGAGGAAACCATGCATCATTAGTTTGTCCACATCAGCCCCACCTTTATCAAGTTTAAATTCTCTTACTTGCCTTGACCTCTGATTTTAGGGACAATCAATAAAGGAAACCCCAAGGGAAGACAGCAACATTGGCCCGTGAAAAAATAAAGTTGAGAAAACAGGAAGGTTTTGTATTTTACATGTTGTTCGTAATTCATTTTTAACTGAATTGCTCGATACGTTAAATATGTTTAAGAAAAAAAGGCAAAACTCAGTAAATACATTTAATAATCAATAATACATCATAACAGCCAAATGCAGTCAAAGAGGGAAAAGATACAAAATTTTGTTTCATATTAAAATTTAAATTAATAGGGTTAGAAAAAATAGGAACTGTAAGTATATTTGATAATAAGAACAGAAATAAGTCCTTTGTTTTCCAAAGACAAATTAAAAATGGTTTTTATTAGCCCTGGTAAGGCTCCAAAATCACTTTAACAAGTTATACAGGAATAATGTTCATTTGAAAATTTTCACCCAAATAAAATGAAAGACCAAAGAGAAGTTAAATAACTGAAATTAGTAATTTCTTAGTATGTTTAAATTTACCACACTTTTAGGCTTTGTTTTATACAATTCAAACAGTCAAGCATCTACTTACTATATCCTTGATACTAGAGTATGTCAAACATAGAGGAGACAATTAGTGTAAAACGGGCACTCGGTTCAAGGGCCTAAATTGTACATGTAGCAACAGAAGGCATACTCAGGAAGCAGTTTCAAAAGTAATAATACTAAGACAGATTTTTGAGGGATGATGAAATTGTTCTATATCTTGATTGTGATGGTAATTCCACAACTCTAAGTATTTGTCAAAACTCACAGAACTGTACCAAAAAAAAAGTACATTTTACTGTATGTAAATGTTAAAAGGAGTATCATAAAAGAGAAAATATGACTAATTTCTAAAATGATATAAAAGGCCCTATAGGAATTCAGAGGTCAACGTGAACTGGAGTAGTTAGAAAAGACTATTAGGGCTTCCCTGGTGGGACAGTGGTTAAGAATCCGCCTGCCAAAGCAGGGGACACGGATTCGAGCCCTGGTCCAGGAAGATCCCACATGCCACAGAGCAGCTAAGCCAGTGCACCACAACTACTGAGCCTGCGCTCTAGAGCCCACAAGCCACAACTACTGAGCCCACGAGCCACAACTACTGAGCCCACATGCCACAACTACTGAAGCCCGCGTGCCTAGAGCCTGTGCTCTGCAACAAGAGAAGCCACCACAATGAGAAGCCCGCGCACCACAACGAAGAGTAGCCCCTGCCCGCCACAGCTGGAGAAAGCCCACGTGCAGCAACAAAGACCCAACATAGCCAAAAACAAATAAATACATTAACTAATATTTTTAAAAAGACTATTAAAGAACAGGCAACTGAGCTGAACTTGAAGCAGCAGGTAAATCATAGGCAATAGGGAGGGCCTCAAGGAGAGCATTTAGTGGTAGAGGGATGCAAGAGCAGCATGAGGTCACACCAACAAGAGTACAGAGAGAATGAGCAAGAAGTTTTCAAGGTACATAACATTTTATAGCGAACATGTACTGCGTGCTCACACATGCCAAGCACTAGGCTACACAGATTAACTCAATCCCTACCTCAACCTTGTGAAGTAGGTAACATCACTTCCCCCTTTTTTCACATAAAATTATTATGAGGCTTTAAGAAATGAGGAACCCTGCTGGAACTAGTAAGTAGTGGAACCAGGATTACAACACAGGCTATCTGTTCCTAGAGTCAGTGTATATATGATGTCTCCCATGGAGGCAAGTGATTTGCTAAATTAACAGAATTGTGACAAGGAAGATGATTTGGGTGAGGGGTACCTGTCCTTTGAAAAAGCTTATTCAGTATAAAATAGATGTTATGTTCATAATAAAAACTCAACGTTAATGAAACAAAATCTTCTTTTCTGCAGATTACTCTTAATTCCACAATTGTGTGGTTTTTAATGGGAGGAAGAGAACCTGAGATTTTGGGGTTTAACAAAAAGAATTATGTTTTTAAAATACTGGCCTAAGAAAGGACTTATCCTGTAGGAATAAATAAAATATCACTGTCCTCTTTTGCTCAGGGTTAGTAACACAGTAAAATAAGGGGTTTTTAAAAATTAACTTTAAAAAAAATTAGAAAGGGGAGCATTTAACACAGCTTTGAAATAATCTACTAATTAAGTGTTAAGTAGTATGTTGACAGGGAAAACAGAAAAGGACACATGAAAGAGTGTTTTGAATATGGAAATGACTCAATTTGAGGACTGGTCACAATTGTTGGAGGCAGATCTGAAGATGACACTTCAGACTTTGGGAATAGGGAGAATGATGGTCCCATTGACAAAAATGTGAAGTTGGGACAGGCAGCTGGTTTATGATGAAAGAAAATTAGTTGAGTATTGAAAATATTGCCTTTGGGGTAATCTGACACCTTAAATGCTCAGCCTCATCTTTCACTCTTCCCCATGTAGCTTACGGCTCCAATCACACTGAACCATTTGCTGTTGCCTGAACATACTATGTTTTCAAAACCTTAGGTACCTACATATATGTTCAGCCTTCTGTTGGGGATACCTGTCCCCTTGTTTCCCTTTCCCTGATAAGTAAGGCACTCCCTACTTATCTGCCCCATGGCACCTTGGACACACATCCATTACATAGTATTTTAAACTGCTTTTTGCATTTTGTCAGCAACTTGAGGACAAAGACCATAACATTCTTGTATCCTTCGGACCAGGCACACAGTTGGCTCTCAGTAAAAATTCACTAAACGGCGAAAGGAATATAATGCAGGATGAAGATAAGAAGTAGAGACAGATTTGCAGATTGTTGGCATTGGAGGTTGTAAGAAGCCAGGAGAATGAAACAGTCTTAGAGAAAGCCTAAAGTCAAGACTAACAGAGATCAATAAAAACAGTCAGGTAAGGACTAATATCCATAGTGAAATCATGAAAAGAGATTGCAGGAGAGAGAGGGAGAGGAGATGATTACATGCTCTAGAGGGCAGGGGCTGTGTCTCTCTCATTCAGCAGAACATACTGACCATTCTTTAAACACAAGAATGAACAATAGAGAAGTAAGACAATGTTGTTATACAAAAAGCCAATGAAAGTAGCTTAGAGTATCAAGTCTGTACTAGGTTAAATGTAGGACATCAATGCTAAGACATCAAGAAGAGTGAGAACAGGGCTTCCCTGGTGGTGCAGTGGTTGAGAGTCCGCCTGCCAATGCAGGGGACACGGGCTCATGCCCCGGTCCAGGAAGATCCCACATGCTGTGGAGCGGCTGGACCCGTGAGCCATGGCCACTGAGGCTGCGCGTCCAGAGCCTGTGCTCCGCAACGGGAGAGGCCACAACAGTGAGAGGCCCCCATACCGCGAAAAAAAAAAAAAAAAAGAAGAGTGAGAACAGAGTAAAGACAATGAGGTCTGAGGAAAAAAGGTGTCATATACACTCTGTGAGAGAATATCTTACACCACCTCCACTAACATCACATCTTTATGAGGAGGAAACTTCAATAATGAGCTTCAATATTGGGTTGTCACTGTCTAAGCATGAATCTCTTTCTTCAAGTTAAATATATCACAATGATTTCCTCTATTACTCATGTGATTTATATATACACACGCACACATACACACGCACACTACTATGGGCTGAACTGTGTCTGTCCCCCCAAATTCTTACGTTGAAGTTCTAACCCCCAATTTTACTATAATTTCTCAATTTCTTGGGGAATTTTACTTTCCCTATTTTCTCAATTTCAGACATCTAAATAAATATTACGCTATACCACAGGGAAATTCAAGTGTCCATCTTCTTGAAAATCTCCTCTCATTATTCACTCAGACATTTCAATTTCTATGACACGGCAGCCACAGTGCCAGGAAAGGAAAAAGAAAAAAAAAAGGGAAGGACTAAAAACACTAAAAAAGGAAAGGAATGAAAAAGACCTCACCACAAAATTTTTAATAAGAGAGAGATAAGCACTACTGGAAAATAACACAGCTGTAACTGCAAACAGAACTGAAGCTTAGATGACTTAGACAATGTAGCAGTCAGGATCCCAGCAGGAAACAGCACCCTCAAACTGGGGAACTTAAGAAGAGCTTAATAAGGGACTATTTACAAGTTATGGTGAGGGCAAAGTCAAGAGATAGTACAACCTTCTGAAGCTGCAACCACTCCTAGACCTAGAAGGTTCAAAGAGCTATGACCTCTGGGAGAGCCAACATGACAGAGGAGTTGGCAGGAGGACTCCAGGAGAAGAAACCCCACTCTCCTTCCAGAGCTTCCCATTCTTCAAACCCATCTAGAAGCCAAAGGGCAAAGTGAGCCTCTTAGTACTGAGGACAAGGCAGACAATGATGAGAGCAGGTCCACACAGGGAAAAAGCTATCTAGAACCGGGAGGCAGAAGGTAAGACCAGTCAGGGTCTCAGCATGAAATAAAGTCCAGTAACTAAATGTAGATAACTCAGGAGAGTTTAATAAAGGGACTATTTACAGAATCTATATTCAGACTCTATATTAAGAAGTTTGGACTCTATTCTGTGGGTAACAGGAGACACACAACCCAATCTGTGCCTTAGTGGGGGAAAAGACTCTGGGAAAAACTGTATAAAGGATAGAGAAGTGTGAAGTTAGAATAGAGGGAGGGCTTCCCTGGTGGCGCAGTGGTTGAGAGTCCGCCTGCCGATGCAGGGGACACAGGTTCGTGCCCCGGTCCAGGAAGATCCCACATGCCGCGGAGTGGCTGGGCCCGTGAGCCATGGCCGCTGAGCCTGTGCGTCCAGAGCCTGTGTTCCGCAACGGGAGA